CTATAGGTATTATACAGATAAAACTCCCTTTTAGAACTATTCGTGCTTCATAGGTTTCACGCAATATGATACATCATATTATACTGTAAGGTTAGAATCTCAAAACGAATGTGTACATCATAGAAAGAGTACACAGTCACACACTCACATCATCAAGAGAGAGGGAGGGAGATTATTAAATTTCTTAAATATCTAAAAGTAATCATTCCCCAAACCTAGGGTTAATCTGGTGGGAAGTGAAATGATTGTGGGGTATTTTATTAACTCATCAATCTCTATTCCTTAATAATTTTTTGAGGAATTGATTTTGTTCCATGGTGGATGGTTCGTAATTCTAGTATTAGGTAACTAACAATTTTTTGAGAAAATCCTCATATCGTATTAATTTATTTAAATAGAAAAATACATAGATACATGAATATAAATCTACATGAGAATTATAGGTAACATTAACTCATAAATTAGGGTAAATTACGCTTTGCACCAAATCCAGCTTTGGTTCCTACACATGAAATTGTGACAATCAACTCCCTACACTTCTGGTCTAGTGTCAATGTCTCATTTTTGTTACTTCACCGTATAAGTCTTTAAAAGAAGTCAGTAATGTGACAATCATATGACTGAAATGAGGGAAAAGTTGGAAAATCACCCCTAATTCCTGCCAATACACATTTGGTCCCAAAGTTTATATCAAATTATAACTGTATTCAACTAAAAAAACACAGATTGTGACTGATTAAGGAGATGAACTAGAGTTTTACAGAAATTGGAATCACGAAGCTATGTTTTTCACAGTAACACAATCTTCTCTCTATTCTTTCTTTCTCTCTCTTCGATTTCTCTACCACCTTTTTTGATTTCAAAAGCTTTGTTTTCTTACCTCTTCATCCCAATTTTCAGCATATGAACATATATATATATATATATATATATTGTATTATATAACTCTCACATGCTTATCACGTGAGGCAAAGTGTGTATTGGTGAAAAATGGGAATGATTTTCCTCTCTTGCCCTCATTTCGTAATCACATGCTTGTCACATAACTGGATTATGCTGAAGACTTAAACAACGGAGTAATAGAAAGGGAACATTAGCACTTGACCAAAAGTGTAAGGGGTTGATTGTTACAGTATAGGGACCAATGTGGGATTTGACCAGAAGTGTTTAGGGTTGATTGTCATGATTTCATGTATAGGGACCAAAGTGGGATTTGGTGCGAAGCGTAATTTACCCCATAAATTATTTGTAAAGAAGACAATTAGTTGCTTTCTTAAAATTTAGCAAATCGAATATGTAATTATTTGTTGGAAAAAAAGTTCATTTTCCTTAAAAGTATGTTTTCATTGTGAGAATATTGTGTATATATGTATATATGGTAGTGTAGTGTGTATATATTGTGAGAGATTGGGTGAATATTTTCGTTTCCCTTTTAGTCTTGCGGTTAGGAGTACTATATAATCAGATGTATCCTTTGTATTTTGACACAATTGAATATACAGTTCTTATTCAAAAATCTTACATGGTATCAGAGCAAGGTACGAAACCCTAACAGCCATCACGCTTTGGTCAATGCTTCTAATTTCTAGTTTCGTCCTTAGTCTCTCAATCAGGCTCTCTAATCACGATCATTGGGTGGTCGCCGCCTGATTTCTGGTGTTGTTCTTTGTCTCTCCATCGAGCTCCCTGGTCGCGATTGTTGGGTGGTCGCCAGAATCGTGACTCGTCAACATCTATGACCTCTAGTTGGGTCGTCAATGTCGCAAGGTGTATCTATGGTTCTCTGGTCTCTTCGTTCGACTTCTGGTTTGTCGCTCTCAACTTCAATCTGTGGTTCTCTAGTCTCGCTGTTATGAATGACCTTGTTTCCCTTCGCCTTTATGTCTTCCGCCATGTTGCCTTTCTCGAACGTCTACTTTACTTTCAGCTTACTTCTCTCACCGCCACAGTTTTCAAAGAGGATTTGGTTCATATTGATCCGTTTCCTTCTGAGGTCCCGTCTGATGAGTACATCTCCACAGTTCCTCCTGAGCTTGTTCCATCTCCTCCTCCTGCTTCACCTCTAGCTGCTTCTCCTCCTTCGATTTTTTCTCCTCCTTCGCTGTTAGTTTATTCTCGTCGCAAGGCTCCTCATCCACCGATTGTCTCTGCCGCTGCTGTTGATCCTCCTGCTTCTGACACCTTTGATCTTGCTGCACACCGATATCCTACTCGAGCACGTCATCCTCCAAACAGGTTGGGTTGGTCTAATACATGTTTTTCTGCTTCCTATCATACTTTTTTGTCTGCTATTCACTCTTTTTTAGAACCTCAGTCTTACAAAGAGGCCTGTCAAGATCCTCATTGGGTTCAAGCTATGGAGGATGAGTTGTATGTTTTACAGAAAACTAGTACTTGGGAGTTGGTTCCTTTGCCTGCTGGTAAGAATCTGGTTAGTTGCAAATAGGTCTACAAAGTCAAGACTCATTCTGATGGTTCTCTTGAGCACTACAAAGCTCGTCTGGTTGTCAAAGGTTTCTCACAGGAGTATGGTATTAATTATGAGGAGACCTTTACTCCTGTTGCCAAGATGACTACTGTCCGTACTTTGGTCTCTGTCGCTGCTGTTCGTTCTTGGCCTCTTTATCAGATAGATGTTAAGAATGCCTTTCATAATGGCGATCTCACTGAGGAGGTTTACATGCGTCCCTGGCCTTCACCATTCCTCTGGACAGGTTTGTCGCCTTTGACATGCTCTATATAGTCTAAAGAAATCACTTTGTGCTTGGTATGATTGCTTTCAGATTGCTATTACGGAGCTTGGGTTTCATCCTTGTGCCCAAGACTCTGCTTTATTTATTCTCCACACATCTGCTGGATTTATTGCATTATTACTATATGCGGATGATATGATCATCGCTGGATTTATTGTATTCAGCATGCTCTGTATAGTCTAAAGCAGTCTCTTCGTGCTTGGTATGATTGCTTTCAGACTGCTATTACTGAGGTTGGGTTTCATCCTTGTGCCCAAGGCTCTACTTTATTTCTTCTCCACACATCTGCTAGATTTATTGCATTATTATTGTATGTGGATGATATGATCATCACTGGTTCTGACTCTTCTGCTATATCTGAGATCAAGCAGTATCTTTTCCGCACCTTTAAAATGAAGGATTTGGGCCCATTGCGGTATTTTCTTGGTATTGAGACAGCTTCTTCTCCCACGGGCTACTTTCTATCTCAGGCCAAATATGCCAATGAGGTTATTCATCGTGCTGGTCTTACTAACACTAAGATTTCTGATACTCCCCATTGAGCTTAATATAAAGCTGAGCACTACTGATAGTGTTCTTCGGGATGATCCTACTTTATATCAAGAGCTCGTAAGTTGCTTAGTTCATCTGATGGTTACTCGTCCTTATTTTGCCTATGTTGTTCATGTGCTTAGCCAGTTTGTCTCTGCTCCTCACTCCACACATTGGGTTGCCTTGGTTCGGATTCTTTGCTATCTCCGGGGTACTATATTTCAGAATTTGCTATTGTCCTCTACTTCCTCTCTAGGTTTGGTAGCCTATATTGATTCTAATTGGACTGGTGATGTTATTGATCGCAAGTTCACGTCTGGTTTCTATGTGTTTCTTGGCACTTCCTTGATCTCTTGGAAAAGAAAGAAACAAACTGTTGTTGCTCGCTCTACTACCGAAACTGAGTATCGTGCTATGGCTCATGCTACTGCTGAAGTTGTCTGGTTTCGTTGTCTTCTCTCTGACTTGGGCGTCCCTCAGTCTTCTTCGACCTCCCTCTATTGTGACAACCATAGTGCTATTCAGATTGCACATAACACTGTCTTCCATGAGCGGACCAAGCACATTAAGATTAATTGTCACTTTGTTCGTCAGCATCTGCAATCTGGCTTCATCTAGCTTCCTTTCGTCTCTCGGCCCTGCAACTTGCTGACTACTTTACCAAGACTCACACCACTGCCCGGTTTCAATTTCTTCTTAACAAACTCTCATTGTTTTCTAGTAAAACACCTTGAGTTTGAGCGGGGGTGTGAGAATATTGTGTATATATATATATATATGGTAGTGTAGTGTGTACATATTCTAAGAGATTGTGAGAGATTGGGAGAATATTTTCGTTTCTTTTTTAGTCTTAGGGTTAGGAGTACTATACAATCAGACGTATCCTTTGTATTTTGACACAATTGAATATACAGTTCTTATTCAGAAATCTTACACTCATGTTATATTCTATGCTGAACATCAAATAACTTTTAGCAAGTTTTGTTGTTAATGACAAATTTAGCAAATGTAATGTGCATTTTTTATGGGAAAAAAGAAAATCATTTCCCTTAAAAATATGTTTGCACATTCTCTCATAGTTTCACTTCACCATATCAAATGAGCCCTCCCTCTAAACTATCGATCTTTGGTTTTTATTAGCTAATAATAATTGAATATCTTGAGATAACAAACTATTAGAGGGTTGACAGTTTTGGTAATGTTAACCAACTTTGTACAAATAACCTCAATGCGAAGATCTAAGAACAAACAAAACAAAATAAAAGAAAAGTAAGAAAATAAGGTAAAGAATAAAAAGCTGCTTTATTGATTGAAAACATGAGCACCTTCTCCAACAAATGGATTGACATGCTTACCATCTGAACTTTCATTTAATGCTATTAAATAGTAAACCCATTCATGAACAAATTCAAATAAACCCAATTTCATTCAGACCTTGTAATATATATTACTTTTTTGTTGTTAGAATAATTCAGTATGAAGACTTCTATTTCAATTCACTCCAATTTTGTGTCCTCGGTCAGAAAGTTTACATAACTCAGTCATGAGTGACTTGGAGCTTTATGTGCCAATCACCAAATGGTCTAAAGTGCACATAAGGCTCAGTTAATTAAGCTACTGGTGAACTATAATTTCAATATGATTTTAAAATTTCTGGCATAAGTTACAGGATATTGTTTTCAAGATTTCAAGAGAAGGTATAGCAATGGGGCTCACCATTATGGAATATAAAGCAATTTGGAAGCTCGAACCATTTGATTAAGAGTTCATCCTTTGCATACCGTGGAAGGACACCAAAACAAGCCTTTTTAGTTGCATCAAACGTGAAGATCAATTTGTTCTCCTTAACCATTTCCTGAAAATTAAAATCACATGAGTAAATTGAGTTGTATATTTCCTGATTATTTAATACCAGTGTTAAATACATTATGTGTTGCTGCATTTTACTTCGAATCCCACATTATCCTCATTTTTCAATTGTAACAATCAACCCTCCACCCATAGAGTCAAGTTACAATGTCAACAATTTGTGAGTTGCTGTTACACTTGAGTACCGACAAGATGTCCATGTAGCAATCCCAAAATGTGCCACGTGAGAGCCAAATTGGCATTTTCTATCAGCCCATGCATGGTTGACATTGTAACTTGGCCATAAGTCTAAGGGATTGATTATTACAGTTAAAAAAAAGGATACCAATGTGAGATTTGGGGTTAAGTGCAATACAACAATGAGTACAACATACTATTTATATTTTCACATCCTCATCGGATTAGCAACATCCTACAAACTTCTTATCTCAAAAGACACAATTTACTACTCTTTAAACTTTGTAGAAGTTGTCCAACAGTTTATAAAGACTCAAATTCCAAAACACAACATAGAATCAGATTTTAACTACAGTGAATATTGATTGAATATTTCAAAACCCTAATATGCATCTTCTTTTCTGGTTCCGCACCATTTGGTAAAAGAGCACAATTTCAGTTTGCCGTTTTGTTGGCTTTGATCTGCTGATTTGGTTCATGTTTGAAGCAGTCTTATCCCTCACTCTACTCTTATCAGTACAACAACAACAATCACCATCAAATTTTGCCAACAAATTTGTCACCATCGTCATCATAGTTTTTTGCCACCATCTTCAATGTCATTACCTTCATCTTGCTGGAGTCCATCAACCTTTTTGTCAAAGATGAAGCAAAAACAGTAACATTGTCGGAACTGGAATTTTTATCAATCAACCTTATCGTCAGAATCGCCGATCATCGTTATCACCATCTCTTTGCCCATCCTGTTGGAGCTTCCTAGTACCATCGTTGGAGTTTGCTGTCCATATGTGTCATTGCATGGTTCGAAGGTCTCTCCCAGTAAGGAAGATGTTGAACCATAAAAAATAAAATAAAATAAAATAAAATAATATTTCTAATAACCATTGACCCAACCTAACTCCTTACGCAAAGCCCAAGTAGAACCCCAATTCTAAAAAAATAAAAAAGAGAAAGAGAGAAGAGAACACTCACTGTATGGCTAATAAAAGAAACCCTTCACAATTAGGGTTTTCCTCTTAGACATTTATATTTATATTAGTAAGATCCAATATACATAAATACCCCGTGGACTAAAATAAAACATAACACACAACACATAACACTCCCCCTCAAGTTGGTGTAAAGATATCTCTCATGGACAACTTGAAAATAATGGGATGAAAAACCTTACTACTAAGACCTTAAGTGAATACATTAGCCAACTAATCTTCTGACTTCACAACAAATTACATCTTTATTTTAACTTCTCCTTGATGAAGTGTCTATCAATTTCAATATGCTTGGTTCTATCATATTGAACTGGATTGTGAACAATACAACCACAACAGATTCCTACATCACCTAGTGAGGACTAGAGCCACTTAAACTCACACGCAACATGAGACATGGTGATGCAATCCACAAGAAGAGCAAGAAAAAGCAAAATTAAAGAATTGGCAATATTTGGAAATTGCCATGGTTTCAAGCTACTCGTCTCGTATTATTAGAGTCATATTTTATAGTTATTTTATGTTTTTTCTAAAATTTTAGGTCAAGGATATTTTGGTAATTTTCATATTCGTTAAGGGTCGCCCATGAGTCGTCTTGTAGGCCAAGTTATTTAATTAGTTTTTGTTTATGTTTCTTATTTCGTCTTATATTGGTTTTAGAAGTCAAAAGTTGAGTAATTTCTTATTTTGGACTCCTAGTTGGAAAAGGAAGCCTCTAAGTCTATATAAACTTGTTTGGTTTTTATTTTGTTTTTGTTAGTCTTCTTTGTGGTGGCCTTGGGTCTCGGGTCCCTAGCTTTGTTGGTATTCTAGCTACCCTTTCGTCTTTTCAGTTAGATTCCACATTGAGTAACTTTTATTTGTGGTATTCTAGATTAAGTCATTTGTCTGCTAACTGGTTATGGTCTTTACTTTAGTCTGGGTTATTAGGTAAAGTTTCACCCAGTGAACTCACTGAATGTCAGGGTTGTAAACTTGCCAAAATGACTGCCTTAACATTTAATAAAAGCACTTTATTTTTGTTACACCTTTTTCTTTACTTCATATTGATGTCTGGGGCCGTCTCTTGTTCCCACCAAAGGTGATTCTGCATATTGTGTCTCCTTTGTTAATGACTTCACCCGCTACACTTGAGTTTATCTCATGATGACGATTTCTACCATATATACCATACCTTTCAATCTATAATCAACACACTTGGATTTACTATTAAAAAATCTTGCGGTCTGACTTGAGTGGAGAATATTTCAAAACTGAGTTCTGTGAGTATTTAGCCAATCTGGTAACCATTCACCAATCTTCTAGTCCTAATACACTAGCCCATAACAGTAGGGACAAGCGAAAACACCGTCATCTCCTCGATACTTCTCAATCTTTTCTTTTATTTGCCTCCATTCCAACATCATTTTGGGGTGAGACTGTTCTTGCTGCTACCTTTCTCTTCAATTAGATGCCTACTCTTCTTCTCTTAGGTTGCTACCATTGCAAGGCTCTACATTCTAAAGTTCTAAATTACTCCCTCCTTCAAGTCTTCGGGTTTCTTGTTTTGTTCTTCTCCCTCGTAAGGATAAAACCAAACTTAGTGTCCGATCTATCTCGTGTGTCTTTCTTTACCTAGAAAGACTATCGCTACTGTGTCCTTGTTTCATGCAACTTCGATCTCTCCTGCCATGGTGCATTCCTCGAACATTTGGCTTACTTTCAACATCCATCTACCACTGCTTTTGTTTCCAAAGAGAAATTGGTTCACACTAATCTTTTTTCTTCTAAGTTTTCCTTCAATGAGTACATATCTACTGTTCCCCATAAGTGTCTTCCCTCTTCTACCTCTGCTTTTGTTCCCCCTACTGCTCCATCTCTTGCTCCGTTGTCAGTCTATTCTTGTCGGACAACTCTTCCTCTACTAGTTGCCTCCTCTGCTACTGATGACACTGATCTGTCGCACGTTCGTATCTGCTTCATCATCATACTCTTGTGGTAAGACTTGGTTTTTCTAATACCTGTTTTTCTCCTTCATATTGCACCTTCTTGTTTGCTATTCATTCCTTTTCCAAACCACGGTCTTATATGGAGGCCTGTCAGGATCCTAATTGGGTCCAACGTCATAAAGACTAAGTTGTTTGCTTTGAAGAAGACCTCTACAAGGGAACTAGTGCCTTTTCCTGCAGGCAAAAATCTGGGTGGTTGCAAGTGGGTCTACAAAGTCAAGATTCAATTACATGGATCTCTAGAGCGTTACATAGCTCGCTTAGTGGCTAAAGGTTTCTCTAAGAAGTATGGCCTTGATAATGAGGAAACCTTTGCCTTTGTAGCCAAGATGACCACTGCCTGTATCTTGATCTCTGTGGTGGTTGTCCATTATTGGCCTCTCTATTAGATGGACATTGACAATGCCTTTCTTAATGACAATTTTTCAAAGGAGGTCTGCATGCATCCTCCCCCTAATCTACCTTCTTTTGGACAGGTGTGTCGCCTTTGCCATACACTATATAGTTTGAAGTAATCTCCCCATGCATGGTTATGAATGCTTTCATGCTACTATTACTAAGCTTGGCATCCATCCTAATACCCATGATTTTGCTATTTTTTCCTTCACACCGCTACTGACTTTGTTGCTCTGTTGCTTTATGTGGATGATATGATCATTATTGGCTCTAATCCTTCTGCCATCACTTGGGTCATGTAGCATCTGTTCTGCACCTTCAAATAAAGGATCTGAGTCCTTTGCGCTATTTCCTTGGTATTGAGTTTGCCACTTCTCTGAAGCGGTATTTTTTCTCTCAAACCAAGTACACTAATGATGTCATCCACCATGATTGTCTCTCCAATACTAAGACTTATGATACCCTGATTGAACTTAATGTGAAGCTCAACACTACTGACGGTGTTCCTCTGGATGATCTTACTCTTCCTCGAGAATTTGTGAGTTTCTTGATCTAACTATGACTCGCCCTAATCTTGCTTATGTTGTTCATATGGCCAATCAGTTTGTTTTTGCTCCTCGGTCCATGCACGACTGCTTTAGTTCAAATTTTATGTTATCTTTGGGGTACTATCTTTTGTGGCTTACTGTTATCCTCTATCACTTCTCTAGAGTTTTGGAACTATGTTGATTCTGATTGGGCTGATGATATCACTAATTGCAAGTCCACTTCTGGCTTTTATATGTTTTTTTATCTATTCCCTCATTTCTTGAAAAGCAAGAAATAGACTATTGTTGTCCATTTTACTACTAAGGTTGAATATCTTGCTATGGCTTATGCTATTGCTGAGATTGTATGGCTTCGTCAACTTCTATCTGATTTGGGAGTTTCTCAGCCTCCTTAGACTGTGACAACAAAAGCGCCATCCAAATTGCCCATAACAATGTCTTTCATGAGAGAACGCAACACATTGAAATTGATTTGTCATTTCTTCAGTCTGGATCTATTTTGATGCACATTGAGAGATAGATTGTCACTGTCCATCAACATCTTCAATCTAGATCAATTTCTCTTCTCTTTGTCACTTCAGTTCTGTAGCTTGCTGATTTCTTCACAAAAACTCACACTACTACGTGCTTTTGTGTGACAACCAACCATTCACCCATAAAGCATATCATGTCATCCATGCATTTTAACATTATGTTAAATGTTACTTGTTTGAACTAGGACTTGATAGGAATTATAAGAGCAGGAGTTAGTTTGAAAACTTAAATTGAGAAAATTGCTTGTTCTATGTTTCAAGTTAGGGGATAACTTAGAACTTGATTTGAGAACCATAGTAAATGCTTTAGCCTTAATTGAGGAACTTAAGGACCTTGGTCTAATGTGCTTGTCCTTTCATGCTATTTGCTATTTCGCTAATTAGGATTAGTAATAATGAACTATGATTAGTGAACCTTAATTAGGATTAATTAACTAGAGCAAGATTAAGCATAGACCTTGATTAATTAGTCCTAAGCTAGATTAGCTAAACTAAGTAACCAAGATTAGAGAACTAATGATGTTACAACTTTTGCCCCAACCACACCAAATAAAACCTTATGTCCAAGCCAACAAAACCAAACAAAGGAGCAAACTTTGCTGGAGAAATTGAGAAGACACTAGAGGAAAGGAGAAGGAAAGAAAGAAAGAAAGAGAGAAAGAAGAGAGGATCAAGATTTGCACCCAAAACCCATTCCTTAACCAATCTAAGGTAAGATTTCTACCCAAAAACTTGTAGTAATCATCCCTAACATCTAAAATCAAGAAGCAACTAGGATTGATTTGGTTTAGAAATGAAGAAATATGGAAAAGAATGAAGGAAGCTAAGTTTGGATGAAAAACTAGGTAGGTAGGCTAAGATTTCATCATCTTGATTGAAGATTTGATGTTCTTGATGCATATTGTAACAACCCTCACTCTACTCTAGTCATGCTTGCATATATTACATGATCTTGCCTTGATATGTTGCATTTTTTGCAAACCTTGATTTGTTTTGCTTAAGTGTTTCTTACATGTTTTGTACCTTGCTTGGTGTGAGTTTAGCCGAGGTCATCTTAAGCCTAAGTCGCACCTTTGAACCTCTTGTGTCTAGGACCATCTTGGAATCTCTTTGGTTGACCTCCACCA